TTACTAATATCATTATTATCATCATCATCATCATCATCATCATTATTATCTTATTATCATCATTATCATTACTAATATCATTATTATTATCATCATCATCATCATCATCATTATTATTATTATTATTACTACTAGTGTTATTATTATTATTATTATTGTTATTATCATTACTAATAGTGTTATTATCATTATTATTATTATCTTATTATCATCATTATCATTACTAATATCATTATTATTACTATTATTATCATCATCATCATCATTATCATCATCATTATTATCATTATTATTACTATCATCATTACTATTATTATTATCATTATCATTAGTATTATTATTATTGTTATTATTATTATTATTATAATAATAGTAATTATTATCATTATCATTATCATCATTATTATTATTATCATTATCATTATTATTATTACTATTATTATTATTACCATTACAATTGTATTATTGTTATTATCATAATCATGATATTATTGTTATTATTATTAATAACATCATTCTTATTATCCTTATCATCGTCATTATTCATCTTTTTAATTATTATCCTTGTTATTACTAGTCCCCATTACTGCCTCCCAGAAATGGGGAAACCTACGATAGAGAACATCTTACACTGAGATTGTTAGTTAAGATTCTTACCATTATTATCATTACTTTTTTTTATAGCGGTTGAATGGGTGGGGATGGTAATTATTAATGATAATGATGACAATGATGATAAATGGTGATGGTGATTATGATAATGATGATAGAAATGATAAAGGTAATAACAATAATAATAATGATGATAATAAAAAATGAATAATAATGATAATTCTTATGACAATAATAGTTACAGAGAATTAATGATTAACCATAGTTAGTTGGAATGGTTGGAACATAGGTTAGGCCACCTCATTTACTTTTCATATAGATTTCATTTTTTTTCTTAAATTTTCATTCATCATTTATATGAGCTTCAGGTTTTACATACTGACAGGTCAAGCTAACAGGATAATAGTTACAATGAAAAATAAATGTGCTAGACATCAAAAGTCATATAACACTATAGATAGGTGTAAGGAAGCAGAGCACACACAAACATATAGCTATACATATATATACACACACACACATATACATATATATATATATATATATATATATATATATATATATATATATATATATATATATATATATATATATACACACACACACATATATATGTATATGTATATATATATATATATATATATATATATATATATATATATATATATATATATATATATATATATATATTTATACATACACACACACACACACACACACACACACACACACACACACACACACACACACACACACACACACACACACACACACACACACACACATATATATATATATATATATTGGAGGCTGGGTTAGGAGTAGGCATGTTATTTTGGGTCATGATTAGATAGTTTTGAATGAATTCAAGAGTGTCTGAAGTGAAGTTGGTTAAGGAGGTCTGAGAAACACAAGAAACACAGGTTTTCTTATGAGAAGAGGGGACAGGATGTTCATGACTGGAACAAAGTCAGCCTTCCATCCTTTCAACACAACTCTCACACCTTAATAATAATTAATGGTTAATGTTTAAAAGCAAAATAAATGTGCTAGACATCTAAGGTTAGTGAAGGGTGGTTGAGTTAGTGATTAGTTGTCAAAGCTGGGCAAAGGAATTGGTGAGTGAATGGGTTAAGGTCGGGTGAGGTAATGTAAAGGGGTGAGATTAAGTGAAGGATATATATGCATTTGAGAAAGGAAAACAGGTTGTCAAAGCAGAAAGTGTGAGATTCTGTATGGATGTCTGATAGGTTGGGAGGTCGGTGAAGGGAGGATAGGTGGGGGAAAGCAGAGGTACGGGCTGCTTCAAAACGTGGGCATGACAATAGAATGTGTGGGACTGAAAGAGGAACATTACATAAGGAACATTGGGGTGGATCGGATTGTGACATCAGATAGGAGTGTGTTAGACGGGTGTGGTCAAAGGGTAAGCGGGCGAGAGCCATCTCTCAACGTCTGTTCCGATTAAATGGAGGTGACTAGGAGGAGATTGATAGTTTTACAGTATGTAATTCATTAGTGCAGAGACTTGACCAAAAAGATTGCCATTGATTATACAAGAAAGTCTTAAAGTGTGGGTAATAATCCGTGGCTGGGATACGTGAGAAGCGTGGTTGGTATGATGTAAACATAGCGGTGTAGTGTGCTAGAGTATCTGCCTGTTCATTGTCGGGGATTCCAACATGGCTGGGTACCCAGCAAAATTTGATTGTTTTATGGCGTGTGGACAGGTAGAACAACCAGTTCTGGATCTTACAAACAAGGGGGTTGGTAGTGTGTATTGACTTTATGAGAGTTCATGAGTTACAGGAGTCTGTAAAAATTGTAAAAGAGGAAGAGGGGAGTGAGTATATGTGTTTTAAGGCAAAAAGGAGTGCATACAGTTCTGTAGTAAGGACACTGGATTCAGGAGGGAGGGGGTATTTGAAAGTACGAGTTGGGAAGATTACTGCAAAACCAGCACCGGAGGTGGATTTGGAGCCATCAGTATATACATGAATACTGGAGGAATGAGTGGAGACATGGTCAAGGAAATGAGTGAGAAGGACAGCAGGAGGAATATTTGATTTTGGTCGGTCAGGGAAAACGGAAGAGCAGATATGAGGGTAAGGTATAAGCCATGGAGCGACAGAATGGACAGAGAACAGGAGAGGTCGGAGATGGGGAAAAGCGGAATGAGAGAGGAGGGTATCCATGCGAGTGGAGAAAGGAGTAGGTAAACATGGAGAAGCTAAGGTAGCAAGTAAGGATTGTGGGACAGTTAGTTTAGTGAGGGGAAGTTGGTGGAATTGAGCATAACATCCGAGAGAGAGAAGGGCACGGCATCAAGAGAGAGATGGTACGCCTGATTCAGTGTACAGGCTCTCAACTGTAGAGGAGTGGAACTAAGCGAAGACCACAGCAATGGATTGTATCAAGATGGGCAAGGAGAGAAGTTGAGGCAGAGTAGATATGGCATCCATAATCCAAAATGGAGAGGATTAAGGTAACAGGAAAATGTAAGATTCGGAGACGGCAGTGATCTTTTTCTTTATTGTAAAGAATATGGTCTCGCCAGGACAGTTTGGAATCAAAAATGACACCTAGGAATTTGCCAGAGGAACGGTGTTGGAGTGGAGTGCCATATAAGAGGAGTGGAGGTAGGACACCTATACATGTGCAGGAGAAAAGGTTGGAGAGAGATTTGGAGGTAGAAAAGCGGAAGACATGGTTTGTGGCCCAGGAAGATACTGATGAGATTGCAGACTGAAGAAACTGTTAGAGATTTGGTATGGATGTGCCAGAGGCATAGATGGTTAAATCAACATATAGTGATGACTGGGCTCCAACTGGTAGAACTGAGACAATGTCATTAATAGCAAGAAGGAATAAAGTGGTACCGAGCGCACTGCCTTGTGGGGCGCCTTCAATTTGAGGAAAGAAAGATTATGTGGTGGAGGCAATTTTGACCTGGAAAGTGCATTGGGAGGGGAAAGACTTTATGAAGACACTCGTTTCCACATATGCCTAGAGAGGACAATTGTTGGAGAATATGGTACCACCATGTCGTATCATATGCTTTTTCTAGATAAAAAAATATAGCTAGTATGAATTCATGGCGTACAAATGCGGATGTAATATATGTCTCAAAATGAGCAAGGGGGTCAGCTGTGCTTCAGGCACGGCGAAAACCAAACTGAGAAGGAGAAAGAAGATACCACATTAAGCAGAAGTTAACCATTCGCTCTAGTAGTTTGCACAAGCAGTTAGTTAGTGCAATGGGGCGATAGTCTTGAGGGAGTGTACCCATTTTATTGGGTTTCAGGAAGGGGAGGATAAGAGCTTCTCGCTAATGAGAGGGAAAATTTCCTGATGTCCATATGTGGTAGTAAATTGTTAATAGGAAGGATAAGGAGGAAGATGGGAGTTGCCGGAGCATACGGTAGTGAATACCGTCAGGGCCTTCATGAGTGTTGCGGCACAATTGGGGAAGTAGGAGACTGAGTCAAGGGCTGAGGCCCAAGGCACTGAGTCTGCCTTCATTTCTTAAGCCCCCCACAGCACTGGATTGGAGGGGATCAAGCTAAGAAGCATATTTGATAGTATAATAAAAGATAAAATAAAACAACTAATAGTAAATAACTTGTTTAATGTTTCATCCATATAAAATGCCAACTGGAAGATGTTGGTTGAAAACTGTCAAAATATCAGACAAGTCTTCAGTCTTGCAATGAAGCATAATAAATGAACTATTTAACACTTACTTTGTCCCTTGCAGATGAATTTAAGTTCTATATAACCTTTCCCTACAGCATATGAAAGAAAATAGCCTTGTTATAGCTATACCATACTTTCATTATAAGTAATAACCAAAGGAGAGCTGTTTTAAACTTTATATATATATATATATATATATATATATATATATATATATATATATATATATATATATATATATATATATATATATATATATATATATATATACATATACATACATACATACATACACAGATATATATATATATATATATATATATATATATATATATATATATATATATATATATATATATATATATATATATATATATATAGGTATATGTATATGTATATATATATGTATATATATATATATATATATATATATATATATATATATATATATATATATATATATATATATATATATATATATATATCTGTGTATGTATGTGTATATATATATATATATATATATATATATATATATATATATATATATATATATATATATATATATATATATATATGTGTGTATATATATATATATGTGTGTATATATATATATATATATATATATATATATATATATATATATATATATATATATATATATATATATATATATATATATATTTAAAGTATACTGCACAAGAAAATAAAGCCATACATTCAGTTCCAAACTTTTTTTATTCAGACTTGCTTAAACTAAATTGTAACTGTAAAAAAAGCTCCAAATATATGGCAATAAAAAATTAAAAGCACACATTCACTGGGATTATTTTCTCTCATAGAGGGCAGAAAAATGGAAAAGTGTAGAGGGAAGACTGTAAGCACTTTGTTTGAGCTAAAAGCTGATCAACAACGGCATGGGAAATTGGACTATATTTTGCATGTGATTTAATAAGATTTATATTTTTATTTGTTCACAAGATATGCAGATGAATTCCAGTAAAGCTTTGCATATAAGACAATGAAGTACTATATGTATATGCACAGAAAACATGAAACATAAACACACACATACACATATGTGTATGTATATATATGTACATATATATACATACACACACTTTTTTTTTTTGTCAACATTTTCATGTGTATGGTGTGCATGTAAAATATGTGTTCCATGTTCCATACTTGATGGATGAAGGAAATTTACACTGGGATTTTGTTTAACACCTAATGATTTATTTTTATTTACCATTTCTTGTGTAGAGATGTGTCCAATTCATTAATCACTCATCTGGTTAATCAACCTTCAAGAAATATACTATTCTTTATTCATAAGTACAGTATATACAGAAAAGAATCCTTCATTCATACAATCACTCTGGTATATATGAGTAAATTGGAAAAAGAAAGAAAGAATATTTATGTACAAACATATTAAGAAAATTTTTTCTCACAGATACACACAGGGTATAAAGGATTAGGGGATGAAAAAATAAAAAATATATGGTACTAATTACCTCAGAATCAAATACAAAATGCTTACAAATGGTTTTAAATGTAGAGAAAAATAAGAGTATCAGACAGCATAGAGAAGGAAACACCCATCATTCACAAAATAAATTTGTCGTAACTTCCTCTTTTCTGGTTAGCTCAGAGTGTGAAATTCAGGAGGCTTTTAAAAACTGCCTTCTTATCTTTCAAAACCTATTTTGCGTACTGTGGCATTTTGTCATTTTGTCAACACAACTGAGTGTTTAGTCATTTGCAGAAAAGGAAGTTTCATTTTAATTATTTCCCTTAGCTTGGTAAATTGTCTCAGTCAAGTCAGTCAGGACTGTCTGCAATTCATTGTTGTGTTTCTCCATCTGTGAAAAAATAAAAAGTAATATCAATGTCAACTCTTAAGATCTTGCCCATAGGAGGCATATCAGCACACCAATCAATCAATTATACTTTAAGTCAATTCACATAGCAAAAGGAGTTGTAATTTTAGAATCTAATCAAGAGACTTTGAACCATCATAATATTTCCCAGTACCTATGTAAACATCTTGTACAGTGTTCATGAATCCTGACCCAAGCGTTTTATAAACATAGGACACACATCCTCCAAGGGATAAAGACTATATTTAAACTATATTTATATCAATGTCCCATTTCTTTAGTAACAGGTCTATCAAAATATATATACAAGGGTAACAGGGAAAAAAAAAAAAAAAAAAAAAAAAACAGAACCAAGTTTACTTCCTGTAATTATAGTTTTTCTTGAAGATAAGTAATTCAACAGAAAACTGGTCATTTTTTTCTAGGTTCAGAAAACATTATTACCATCAGGGAAAAAAAAAAAAAAAAGTGTGTGTGTGTGTGTGTGTGTGTGTGTGTGTGTGTGTGTGTGTGTGTGTGTGTGTGTGTGTGTGTGTGTGTGTGTGTGTGTGTGTATGTATATGTATGTATGTGTATGTATGTATATGTATGTATGTGTATGTATGTATGTGTATGTATGCATGTGTATGTATGTATGTATATGTATGTATGTATATGTATGTATGTATATGTATGTATGTATATGTATGTATGTATATGTATGTATGTATATATGTATGTATGTATATATATACATACATACATACATATATATATATGTATATATATATACATACATAAATACATATATATATATATATATATATATATATATATATATATATATATATATATATATATATATTTATATATGTATGTATATGTATATATGTATATATATAAAAGAAAATAACCCTAAGGATATCAATGAATGAAATTAAAGAGAGGAAATTATAATATTACTTACAGCTTGCAAAATATTCTGGTAATGTGATGCAATAAAATGGTTGAAATCAGCTAACTGTTCCTGTAGTTGCTGAGTCTCCTGGCTAATCCCTGCATGCTCGGCTTCCATGTCCTGGAGAACAATCTCGTCCTCAGTCTGATTGCGCCGCATCTCCTCCAGAGTTCTGATACGTACAAGGGAGAAGAACCAGTGAGAATATGTGGAGTAAAGTCCAAAGAAAGGGTTATCCAACTGTACATAAAATTCGTATATATGCTCCTTTGTAATTTTGCCGCGTGTACTCACGACTTGCGCTGGTTAACTTCGTGTTGGAGGCTCTCCTTCTTCAGCTTCCATGACATGTGTAGCAGTGAAATCTTCTCTTGCTTGGAGGCTAACTGTTCCATCAGCTGCTGAATTTTCATGGAAATGTCTTCGGTTTCTTCAAGTACTAAGCCTTTAGAACGGTCCTTCTGGCTCAGTCCTGCCAGACATTCCCTATAAAAATATACACGCAGATTACTAATATATTTACAGGACAAACACAGGCACACAAACACAAATGCATTCACTCATACACGCACACACAAGCACACCCCCACACACCCACTTACTTTTGCTTGGCAACTCCTTGCTGTATCTCCTGCATAACCCCAAGCAACTGCTCCTTAACCAAATCGTGAGCAGAAGTGAAGGTCTGTAGTGACTGCTTTAACTCGGCCAAACGGCGGGACTTTTTCTCATTTTCGTTCTTGCACACGGCCAACTTACGCTCGCGCTCTTCTATTTCTTGACGTTCGCTGGCCTGCACAACTTGGCTGGCTAATTTCTCTATCCTCTCTTTGCCCTACATGATGTAAATTAGAATACACAATTAATTTTCCATAACATGAATAAAAATGGTCTGAAATGAATTTGGGAATGTTATATAATTTTTATTTTACTTTAATAACTTACTTTTAACTGTAAATGTCACCATAGGATTTTTTTTTGACTCGCTGACCTAAATAATTTTCTTAACATGTAAAACATACTCACTAATACAAGTATACATCAAAAAATAAAGCATAACATAATAATTGATGCAAGTAAGTGAAAAATAAAATATAATATATGAAATTAAAGAAGTAGAAGAAAAAGAAGAAGAAGAAAGAGAGAAATCTCATTTTTCTTTACACACCTCAATTATCTCCAATTCAACATCTTTCATGGTTGTTCCTAAAGTTGCAATGATCATCTTTACTTCATCAAGCTGAGATTTCAGGTTAAGCTTTGTGTCTTGGTATTTCTGCAAATCCTCCTTCACTTCTGCAATGCGTTTCAGCTCCTGCAATGGAATCCATTCATAAACAAATGCTATAAGAATAAATAATCAATGGTGAATTTATTTGACATAAGCACTTCTAATAAGCATTGCATGTACTAAAAAAAAAACACAACAACAACAACAACAACAATAATAACAAAAACAGACCTGTTCTTCACGGATCTGATTTTCTGCATTCTCCATTTTGAGTTGCCTCAGCTTGGCTATGTTTTTCTCAATGTTTTCTTGCTGCTTTTGACGTGCTTCACGTTTAATTGCCACCTGTAGGTAAATATCAAGCATTAACCTAAGCTTATAAAAATAGCATCAATTTGCAACGGTTAACAGGATACCTTTGGGAAAATCTCAAACTGTTAACATTTATCATGTAATTACAGTGAAAGTAACTAAAAAAATACATACTTGCTCTTCAATGGCATTCAATTGCTCTGTACTTTCATTTGCAGCATAATAAAACTCCATCATCAGTGAGAAAAACCTCCTTGTTCTTCTTGGTTCTGTAAGAAGAGGACAAATTCAGAAAAAATGTGAAATGTAGTTAAATGCCAGCAGGTATTACACAAAATCATATGAAGCATTACAGTTAAAATGAGTCTGAAACAACTGCTCCTTTTAGCATATTTAAAGAATATCTTATAACTGAACAAAGTGACTGACATACATATATGTACTAATATTCTTAGTTGAATAATACTAATTGTACTAATATTCTTAGTTGTCATCGGCCATTGACATTTCTGTGTTTAAAAATCTATTCATCTGATTATCTGTGTGTTTTGGCCTAATCATCAATTACAAATTTATGACAAAAGTAAGAAATCACAAGATGCAGGCAAAAGAGATCAATAACACTGTGGATGAGGATGTCATCACCAGCTTCTCTTCCCCTTCAGTAATTCCTTCTCTCTAGCTATGTGCTTGTATTCACATATATGAAGAGAAGCATGCAACATTTAACACTATGAATCCCTTAATCTGAAGTGGTTACTATAATTTGTCAGTATCTATGGGTATTATGTACTGTATTTAGAATAGTGTGTTCCACACACATAATCAAATATTATAAATAAATACAGATAATCCCCTACTTAAGAACATTCTACTTATGAACATTCCAGACATACAAACAATCATTTTTTAAGTACTAAAGTCCAAAAAATTGTTTGAAAGATGCTAGCAAACTTCAAATTTCCCGGGCACAAATATAGTTCAAGAGTCTGGTACTGTATAAGGTATGTCGTACTTATTGGGATTTATTTACAGGTATTCTTAATGTAAACAAAACTTTAAAACAATGGGAAGAAAGGTAATGGAGACCCGACTTTCGACATACAAACAAATCAACTTACAAACAGCCTCTTGGTCCCCATTATGTTCTTAAGCTAGGGACTTACTGTATATACATAATTGAAGTATCTTTGTGTACTTGCACTAATAGTGAGCATGGCATGTACATACATGCCATCCCTGGCAGCATTGGAATTTCAAATTTCAAATTTTCTTATATTGCAAAACAAACACTGTATTGAATTGTTCATCAGAAATGTTATCAAAGAG